AAATGATTAGTCTGACTACAGAACCGGAATGAACGATTTGAAGCCCCTTTCTGCTAGCATTCTGCAAAGAAAACGCTGCGAAATTTGTTCCATTTGCCTCTGAACGAAGATTACGATCTTCCCTATGATGGAAAGAAGAGCAGAGTAATGCTTAATCGATGGTGATGGGGATGAAATGAAACATATTTTTCGCGCCACGTGGATTATCATGTTCAACATTCCGGCTAAGTAACTTATAAGAACTAGTAAATTCACAACATCATCCATTTGAACGGGAGAACACGGAGACTTTCCAAACTTTCACATAAAAATCAAATCTTTGGCATGTTTCATGACAAGGGTTATTTACACGGCTTTCCAAAAAGGTTGGACAAAATCTAGATTTACCCAATTTCACATTTAATCAGACAAGCGCGAAATTGCCACAGGTTGACCTTAGTATTCAAGGCATAAGATGGGTGGGCCATTGGTGGGTTAAAACAATCAGAGCTACGAATTTATTTAATGACAAATGTTTTCAAGAAAGTTTCTGAGATTTTTCATTGTGAATGACCGACCATGTACTAGTACAAAACAGTTAAAATATAGTTCCTACGTCGGAGTGTGTCTACGGACGAGTAATTCCTTCAACATAAAATTTTATGGGTGTTGTACTGCTATCGGAATGTCGATATTTAAAAACGTCACGGTCAGTGTTTGGGTACCTGCCGTTCTAGACGCATTTCGAACTAATGATACCCTATAAGCTGAGACCTGGGCGTGCAAATACATATTTATTATGCTTACGTGATAGTACATAAAGAGTACTAGGTATGGAAAAATTCTGATAAGCAGCACACTCATTTCGCAAATAAAATGATAGGATATGCGTCAAATGCAGTGTGTGCTGAAATGGTTGTTCTTGTTTTGTTATCGTTTTCTGGAACTGACAGAGCCTAAACGCAGAGTAGCCCAGATTTATTATGTCTGATCATTAGAAGTGATAGTTCAGATCTATATATCTATGAAATTTATCAATTAAAGCCAGGCCTTGGTCTGTGAACTCATCTGATGCTTTCTCAGGCGGAGAGTCAATAGCACCATCTCGTTCGTGATCCAGTGGTACGGCCTTACTTCGACGATATTGCGCAAGCAGAGGTATTGGATATTGTCTAGACGAGCTTCATGAACCTTCATGCCGGCAGGTGTTTCGACATTGTACCTGGGCCCCGTGAGTACGCTTGCTTTCAGGATGATGATCTGCGTATCAGTTCTTGTATTTCAATCTTTCTACAAGTCACAGGTTGCCTATGTCATTTCAATATGCACATTCACATTAAGATCATTAACTACAGTTTCATGGTACTTAAAACGGTCTCCTGGTTTGTCGTAGTTCAGTACCATCCCATATAATCGTCGCGCTGACGAGCGCCATCATAATCTTTGTATTCTTAAGCGTTGACTTGTAGCCTCATTACTATAGTCTGTTGCACACGCGTTTGTGAGGTGTCAATAGGCCACTTGCGGAGTCGCTCAGCATCATGGAAGTCATCGGTGTTTTGAACGTTGAATAATACTCAGACCCTCCTCGTAATATGAGACGACGCTTTTCATATTCAACCACGAGTTTGAACAGCAAAGGAAGGAGCACCTAGCCTTGACAAAGATCCTACAGCTTTGATGCAAATTTTATTCCTTCGTATAAACATTATATCAGGCTTATCATCACCTGTGGGATTAGATAATGTCAAATGAAACGTCACATTGTCTGGCTATAAACTGAGTCGAAGGCTGGCCGGAAGTCGACTAAACACTTGTACCAGAACTGTTGCAAGATCATGCATTACTTAAATATTCTTTTCAGCACAAAGATGTTGTCTGAATGCGAATGTCCGCTCTCGAAACCTGTTTGGTTTGTCAGCAGTGAATTATTTATGTAATCCTTAACCTTCCAAGAATGATCGGCGCTAACAAATTGTTCAGAACACGTGGTAGACTGATTTCTTGAGGGTTGAACAAATCAGCGCTGCTCCTGAACTTGAAAAAATTGGTGATCATAATTTTGTTCCACTCTTCAGGGACCACTGATTTCCGCTAGATGTTGCCGTAATCTAAGTGGATCAGACTGAAGAGGTTGTCGTTGCCAGAGTTCAGGATTTCCGTACCAATTCCTGCAGGAACACAGGATTTCAAGCTTCGACTGTAAAGTTCTCAGATTTTTTTTGCTACCGGCGAGGTGTAGTTAAAATCCAGGTCTCATCTGCCACCTTCTTCCATTTCGAGCTCCATCACATGACCAAGCGCACTGAGCCGTTCCGCCAGAAATGTTCACTCCTTCGCTTCGCATACGACGGCAGTCTACATCTTGCGAGTGCTGAGGAACTGTAAAACTGTCGCCTGCTTAAATGTCGTCCCCCTGAAAAGGACTCTTGCGGAGAGTGGTATTGCAATCTCCTCTGAAATCTCAAATCAGATGATTCATGGGCAAAACGCAGTGTAATGCGTTTATCATAATTTTTGTCCATAAGGGAAAAATAAAACCATGATTTTAAAATTTATGCATACTTTCTTGTGTTTCTTCATCAACGTAAAAACCCTTTTCGAAAGGATATCCGTTCCATTAGTAGGGTGATTCATAAGTCGCGGTTGCGGTGCGTCATTTTTCTGCAACCTTTTAATTTTCTAAAGTTAGAAAAATCTGAGTCATTTCAAAATGTGCCGTCTTTTAAATGTTAAGTAATAAAAATCACATCAATGCAATCGTGCCATCATCTGCAAATTAACTCTCTAACCAATATCTGTACATTCCAGATGAATATGCTGTAACTCAATGTTCTTCTATTCCTCCTTCTATTCGATAAGTTTTCGTAAGCGACCTCTCCACAGACGCGAGTAGATGTTCCACTACTTTTCTTGGTGTTGTGCCCTTTACTTCTACGGTGAAGAACACATGTCTTCGTTATTAGGTCATCCCAGCATGTTGATGGGCGGCTGAGTGACGTCTGGTGCCAAAGGGAATCCGCTTTTTACTCGAGATGTCCACCCGTTGTTCTTGAGATGAGTGACATGGCTAGCTGAGAGTCTGTTCGAGTTTTAGCGGCAGCGAGGTTGTTCCAAAAATCATATATGACACCGAGTTATCACGCATGGAAGATGGTATCGATGGTAGGACCTTGCATACTCTTCTTTAAATAGTCGCCCTTGGAGTTGCAGCTAGTTTTTTTCCTCACAGGTGGTGAAAGACCAGCACTCAATGAGATAAATAATGAATATTGACACTTCGTCATCGCCACTGATAAACAATGCAGTACATGTGCCAGCCATTTCCAGACTACGCTTTTCCTATTGACGTTAAAAAATAGCTACATTCATCGGTAGTAGATTCGAATATTGCGATATTTTGCTTCGGTATATCGAGTCAC